ATCAAACTATTAGTTTATGACTAGTTTTGCTTGCACTAACAGTGTAAATATTTCTTTTTATACATATAATTAGATGGGTGATAGATAATGTCTTCAAATTTGAATTTCTTGTTTTGTACATGTATCACTTGTGTCAACTTGCTCTTGTTAAGAAATCTTTGCATTCTTTAAAGTAGAAAAAGAAAATAATCCTTAATGTTAAACTATTGAGGTTAGTACAATGGTAAGAAAAGGGTGCTTAAAGTCTTTTTCACTATTATATTCAAAGTTTGAATCTTGTACTTGACAGTTGAGTATGACAAGAAATGAGACGGTAAAAAAAAAAAAAAAAAAAACTTTCCTTTGTGTAAATTTTAAAATTTTAAATTTAATGAATTAGGAAAAGGAAAATTAGATTTCACTCAATCCCGTTATTATTTTTTGACTTAATTTAGTTTTGCTCACATTCTTTTAAACAAAGGTCATGGTTTAAAACTCATGTGAAGAATTTTGTCTTAAAATCATGACTGCAATGTAATCGGTGGTCTCCCATACTACCACATGTCATTCCACGTCAGATGCCATGTCAATAGGTTGGTCTCATTTCCTTATGTAAAAGTGACACGTAACATTTCATCTTAGCTGACGTGGCATTAATGGGTTCTATCATTGAGTGACCAGACAATAGATAATTAAGGCATTTCACAAAGTATCAGATGTTCTTTTATTAGTATAAATTGTTTTCAATTTCGCATTTACATAAAAACTCTTCCCAAAACTTTCACTGTTTTGCATTATTGATACGGTTACATCCAAAATTTTCCCAAAACTCTTCTAACCATTAGCTCCAAGCCTCCAACTGCCAAAGCTGTTGATCAATGGCCCATTTCAAAAAGAAGAAGAGCGGACAGAGGATCCAAAGTTAGCTTCAGGTGAGGAGTATGTCCCAAAGTCATAATCTTCCTTTCTTGAATTCAAAGGGGGTGATGGGAGAGTTGCTAGTGAGTCGAGTTAAATTCGAGTAGTACATTTCACTCAAGTAAAAATATTTAAAATTAAGTTTAAGTTTAAGTTTGGTTTGCTCGAGTTTGATCGAGTCTAATCGAGTTTTTAAATTTTATTTTCTAGTAAATTTTATAGTTTTTATAATAAATAATTATAAACTATATTATAAATATACTATTTGGCTTGATAAGTATTTGAGTTTTGACTTTTTTTTACTCAAACTCAACTTGATTACATGGGAGTGTTTGGACAGTGTATTATTTGAAATAATTACTATAACACTTTTTGTGATGTGATATATGTGAGATAAAAAGGTGGTTAGAAATATAAAAAGATGGGTTGGAAAATGTGTTTATGATGCAAGCGAAATATTATTTGAAATAATTGAGGTATCCAGACAAACTTATTATGAAGTAGTTCAAACTCAACTCGAACTCGATCGACACCGAGTTCAAGTAAAACCTTTGACTGACCTACTCATAAACTTAAGTCAAGTAGTTTGATTAATTTACACTCGTAGTTGAGGGTCCTTGGGGATCATATGCTTTGCATCGTCAAGTCATTTTTTCCTTTTTCTGCTCTTTTCCTTTATTAAAGTGACAACTCTAGCAATCACATTCTTGTCTACTAAGGAATTTAGTTAAATCTGATTATATTAGAATATTCCTTGCCCTAAGTTAGCTTCAGCTGAGGAATTATACTATGCCCCAAATTCATAATCTTCCTTTCTTGAAGTTAAAGGCGCTTGGTGTCCCTTGGGGATGGTATGGTCTGCACTGTCAAGTCCTTTTTTCCTTCTCCGCTCTTTTCCTTTATTAAAGTAACAGCTGTAGCAATGAGGCATTTAGTTAAATCTGATTATATTGGAATATTCCGCGCCCAAACCCAAAAAAAAAAAAAAACAAAACTTTTTCTTCATAGAAGCACTCTTTTAGTCTCTAAATCATTCTACCAAGCACAGAGCAACAAGCAGCAGGTAATTGGAAACTGAAGACAGAGATTCCCAGGTTTGTATTTAATTTTCTTGATCTTTCTTTGTTATTTCACTTTCATGTCAGCTAAAATCGTTCAACTAAGCTGTTGTATGCGTGCCCTTTTGCCGAAGTTTAGAGTATTGTAGTATATTTTGTGTAGCAAAATTATGCGGTTAATTGTTGAATATACGTTTCAAAACAAGAAGAAATCATCACTAATACAAAAGGGATCTCGTCAACATGCATGAAATACATAAATTTTGGTCAGAAATAATTGTATGTAAAATCTGATCGCTAAAGCTGTAACTTCAATTACAGGAAGTTACGATTCAGTTTGGATAATGAAATTTAGTGCCTTTTAGCCCTGTAGCCGAGAATGCTGTTATATAGGAGGATAATTTGGCTAAAAAAAAAAAATCAAAGATCCTACTTATGAGCATCAGTAAAGATTTGAATAAGGATATTTAATTGGAACTTCTCTGTTTTGACTATCTGAAAGTTTTTATTGGAGGGAGAGTGGTCTGGATTAGTTTATTGGATTACTAATGTTGGAAAAGATGGCCATTAATCATGTAACCTTTCTTTAATCTTAAATTAATGCATTATTAAAACATAGGCAATAGTGGTCATTTGAAACAAGAATTAGTTTAGTTTTTGTTGTGGTACTTATTCGTATCTCCTGCACCACTTTCCCTAGAGCCTTGAAGTCACTTGCTTGAGCTATGCTAACAATTGTATCCGGAATCCATGAGCTAGTGGAAAAGTATTCATTGCTTTGCTTTGTCATCAGTAGTTTTATCTTTTACAATATAATCTTCCTCTGTTTAAGAAGTTGATTAGGGGCATGATCCATGACTTTTATAAGGAACTGGGGAATATCTATACCTGATCGATGGATAACCAATAGGTGCATGTGCAGATAAATAAAGGGGGGAAATAAAAACTTGGCATTTGATTTTTGTTCATGTACACACACTCATGAGCTAATAGGTATGTACTTTATGTTAATGTGCACATAAATGTTAGCATGTTACAAAGTATTGGGTGGACAAATATTATGGGTATGTATGAATTGGTCAGGCACTTGATCTGATGGTGATAATATTATTGTTGCATTCCTGAGCAGATTTCAAATTCATGCTATAGTATTACAATTACTTTCTTTCTTTCTAAAATGAGTAATCATTTATACCACCAAACAGGGGTCTTGCAGCGGCAATGGACCAGAATAGTGTGGAACTGCAGGCAGAAAGAATTCTTGAACTTCTCAAGGAAAAACATGTGTCAACAATTGTTCTTTCTGGGAAATCAGGAAGTGGGAAAACATGGATGGCAAGAAAAGTTGGTCTGCTGGCAGTCAAAAAGAAAGTAATTGACATTACACTTTGGATTTCTCTGAGTATTAGGCATGATGAGACGTCTCTTTATGAGCATATTGCTCATCAGTTATCTCTACTTTCCACTTCTGTGGAGCTGGAAAACTATGATATCCAGGAGGTAGAGAATAATGTTGGTAAGGAGGAAACCTTGGAGAGCTTGAAAGAAAAGGTACGTGCAAGACTTTCAACTGATAATGTTCTTCAGGGGGTTCTTGTAATTTTGGATGATGAAGGAAACAAAATGAGGGAAGGGGATGGCGGCTTAGAACAAGTCCTTCACTATATCCAGCAGAATTCCCAGAACCATTCAACAACAGCTGCTGATGGAGATGGACAGCAAAAACTTAAGGTGTTGATAACTTCTAGAAATGAAGATGGAAGGCACCAAACCCAGGGAGGTAAGGAAGTGGTTGAAATGATGCCTCTAACTCCAGAAATGTCAATTTTGTTGTTAAAGCAAGGAGCTATGGCAAAACTTTTTGAAATTCCATGTGTAGAAAGTGTAGTTGCAAAGTTCATCAATAGAAAAACAGATCTTGCACCTGGTGAAGTATCCTTGCTAGCAAAACTATTAAGTTACCATCAACAAGTTTCTGAACTGCAGGGTCTGGAACACACTTTGGAAGAAGCATGGTATGGTGATAACTACAACTGCACCCAGCTGCTCTTAAGTGGATATGAAAAGGTGTCAGATGGTATTTTAGTTGACTTTTCTTGGCAGGGCAGCCATTTTTTCCGTGATAATGTATCTGTTCACTACAGTGAGTTGATATCATACTGGATACTGGAAGGATATCTTGGTCCTGTTAATAGTCTTGAGGAGGCTTATAAGGAGGGGCACCGCATTTTGATGCACCTCATGGACTGTCAAATGTTGAAAGAAGTGAATGATGATTTCGTCCACATGGTGAGAGTAACTGGAGATGTTTCTTATCGTCATCGTCGTGGTTATGGAGGAACAGCTAATCTGGGGTTGGCTAATGTGCTTGTTAAAAGTAATGATTGGCAGGGTATTGGAAAACTCACAAAGGTGGATGGTATGATCAGAACACTTGGCAGTTATAAAAGAGTGCAGCAATCATTAACACTTTTACTAGATGGCAACTGTCTCAGCAGGGAAAACCCAAATAATCTCTTACTCAGCAATCGGGAGCTGCAAATTCTAGGTCTTTTCAGTCTCGAAATTGTATCCTTACCTCATTCTTTCAACAACTTCAAAAAACTGAATGTTCTTGTGCTCAGGGACTGTGATTTCTTAGAAAAGATCGATGACATTCGAGAACTAATGACATTAACTGTCCTTGAAGTATCTGGTTCTGGCTTGGTGAAAAGTATGCCAAAAAACTTTTTTCAGCACCTGAAGAAACTTCGTAGCCTCCACTTCTCCGACTTTCAGATTGAAGTCATGCCTGATTCTTTTTATCACCTTACAGAACTCAGCTGGCTCATTCTAAAAAGGTTTTCTCATTTAACAAAGTTGCAGAGCCTGAAAGAGTGTCAAAACCTTATGGTTATTGATCTTTCTGGTGCTGCCTCCTTGCCAACTTTTCCAGAAAAGAACTTGAAATCATTGCCGAAACTTCAAACATTAAATCTTTCAAACTCCAAGATCAAATCTTTGCCTATTTTTCATGAAACTGGAGAGCTTACTCATCTATCAGTTAGCGGTTGTAGCAACATGGATAGAGTGCCCAGCATTCGGTCTCTAACTAATCTGCAAGTTCTTGATCTTTCATGGTCAACCATAGTGGAGTTCCAGGACAAGTCATTTCAAAATAATACAAGTCTGAAGATCCTTGATTTATCTGGAACTGCTATTCCTTCATTACCTTTTAACATCGGTAAACCTCGTGAGTTCTATTTGAAAAATTGCTCTGAGATAAAATACATGAATTGTGTTGAATCTTCCGAAGAACTAGAGATACTTGATTTTTCAGGTGCCAGTAATCTTGTAAAAATTGAAGGAAAGTTCTTTGAATGTTTAGAAAATCTCCGAGTTCTCAACCTGTCAGGAACAAAAGTCAAAGATCTACCATCCCTTTCTACTCTCCACAACCTCCGTCAGCTGTTACTTTCATGTTGTCTGAATCTGGAGAAGTTGCCAAGGTTGGCTTCAAGCAAACTGGAAGAGCTTGATCTATCTGACTGTAAGGCAATGACAATGATAGAAGATAAATCTTTTGAGCATCTACCTCGCCTTCGTCGGCTTGTCCTCTCTCAAACAAAGATTGTACACTTACCAGAACTCAACTCCCTCTCAAATCTTGAGGAGCTAAATTTGAGTGGTGTTAAATCATTTACCGGAGCTGATTTCATAGAGCACATGAGCAAACTTCAGGTTCTAAACCTCTCCGAGACCTTGCTTAAAGAGCTACCGGCCTTAACGAATCTCAAAAGCCTTAAGCATCTGTTTTTGAGGGGCTGTGGACAATTAGAGGTTCTCCCTCTCTTGGAAGTACTTCACAACCTTAAGACTCTTGATCTTTCTCAAACAGCACTGAGGCAACTGCCGTTTGTAGGAAGTTTGAGTAACCTGCATAAACTGTTGCTCAGAGACTGTTCAAAATTGGAAAACTTTAAAAACCACAAGCTGCTTGGCATGTCTGGAGTTGAAAATCTCCCTTGTGGAATCCCAAGATTGACACAGCTGCAACATCTTGCTTTACCCAGTATGAAGGAAGACATCCAAGCAGCTGACACTAATGAGGTAACTAGCTGGACGCAAAAGCCTAGTGCATCACTTTGGTCCTTCTCCATTGTGGATCGAACGGTACCAAACACTAGCAGATCTTTACTTTCTTATAACGGTTCACTATTTCTTGAATTTCTGGACAGCAATCCTTCTGTATTGGACTCAACCTCAAATCATTTCCATCTCTTTGTTCATCCTTCTGAAGTGGCAAATGGTGCAGGGGACATGCTCTTCCACAAGGATGAATTGGTTTTTAGAGATGTCTATCTATTAACTAGGCATTGCTCTAAATCTCAAGGGCAGTTAGTGGAGATTCATCATCTGAGTGCTTTTTCCGAGGGCATTGAGGCTGTACTTCATAATGCTGAGTATATATTCTTGTTTGATAGTTTGTTTTTCAAATCATTTTCTGATTTAGGTGCTGGCAACATCAAGACGTTGAAAGGTTGTTGGATTGAGGGATGTGAAAATATGGAGTTCGTTATAGAGACGAATGACTTAGTAGACAGTAGCGAACGGGGGATAGAACTTGAGATTTTATGGATTTCAAATGCATCGAGTTTAAGGAGCATGTACAGTGAAAACCTGCGGTTGGGGAGCTTTCAGAATCTGAAGTGCTTGTATCTAGATTGTTGCCCAAAGCTGTCGAGTGTTTTCTTTTCATCCCACCTGCTGCAGATGCTTGAAATTCTTCATGTCAGATTTTGTGAGAATTTGGTGGCTTTGTTTGGAGATGATGTAGAAGAGCATAAATTGCCAAACTTACGAACATTGCGTTTGTGGGAACTACCAAAACTGAAAAGCATTGGGTGCATAATGCCGTCTCTACAAAGTTTAGAAGTAGGCGAGTGTCCGATGCTTGGACACATGCTATCTTCACTTCATGTACCAGAAAAACTTGAGGTCCTTAAAGTCAGAAATTGTAGTGAGTTGGGCAATTTGCTTGAAGGATTGACACCAGACAACTGCAAATTGCCTCATCTAGCTGAAGTTCACCTGTGGGGATTACCAAAGCTGACAAGAATTGGGATTGAATCACCCTTGTTGAGATCTTTGAAAATTGGAGATTGTTCTGTGCTTTTACATGTTAGTTATATGCCAGAAAACCTGGAGGTCCTCAAGGTCAGATTCTGTGACAACTTGGAAGCTATATTTGTTGGCATGACATCTGAAAATTTCATACTGCAAAGCTTACATACGGTTCATCTTTGGGGTTTACCAAAGCTGGTCAGCATTGGAGCCAGATTGCCACCTCTGCAGAAGTACATTATCAGGGACTGTCCCAAACTAGCTCTCCCGGTGTCATGATTGGCCAGCTCTTTAACCACATCGCAGGATTTGTTAGCTGCACTGTGAATGGTAGAGGAATGTATTCTTAACATGGAACAAGCTGTTCCAAACCAGATTGCTTTGTTTGCTATTAACATGGGCAGGAATTGTCCCAAACTAGATTTCTTTGTTTGCTATTAACACATTTTTGGTGAAATTTTGGAGCATTGTAAATTATTTTAGAGTTTTTGAGTGCTTTTCACTATAATAATTTAATCTTTAAATTGCATTAACAGTAATTTTTTGACTATATTGTTATTTTACGCATATAATCAAAATATGCTGGCACGTTTCTTTTCGCTGTTTCAAGTGAAAATGCGACAGAAAATAAGTTTCGAAATGAAAATGGTACATTTTAAATATGTGAGAGATCAAACTTATTATTTGAAAAGCTGAAGAACAAAAAACTAAGAAGGTGTAAAACGAATTAAATGTAACTTGCATGATTTTCTAATTTCAAATGCTTTATTTCTTTTAACATCACAAACTTTCAATTTACATAACTAATAAAATCAAGTAAGAAATAAAATACTCGATATGAGCCTTGTCTTTTGACTGGTAAAATTTGATTTCTTCCGTTAGATAGAGGTTAAATCACTACAGCACTACAACACCCATATGACCAACTTGCCATTAAATCTGGTGCAGAATTCCCTTCTCTAAGAAAATAGCAAAACTTTGATCAAGTACCATGCAAATCCACACTTATCGGAGATCATTAGCATTAGAACATTGGAATCCAGCTCAATTTCAATCTTTGAGATTCACATTTGAAAACAAACTTGCAGACCGTGAATCAAAGCTTGGAATTCAACTTGTAAACTTGACAGGTAACCCAACCTGGTAGAAAAAGCTAACAAAATTCCATCCGGATTCCTTAACATATTTCCTCCACTTCTAATTCTCGAATTCCCTCTAGAACTGCCATCGGTATTAAGCTTAAACCAATGGGGTGAAGGGTCCAAACACCTTACATTCGAGTAACACAATAGATTTCAAATTCCAAACAATTACAAATTTGTCTTTATTAGATCATTCCTGATTTATTTATCTTTATTTATGCAAACGGTTAAAAAATTGTCTTTCACCACTTCTTGGTACCCTGTAGATTTTGTACTATTAGTGCAATAACTCTTGCTAGGCTAATTATTGGCTAAAATTCTTACTTTTTTCTCATCCAATAGAAATGTCTCCAATCATATTCTTTTTTTTTTTTCTAGCAAGTCATACAAAGAAACTAGAGTAAAGAAAGAATAAACAAATATAAACAAGCAAAGGAAATTTGGTTGGAATAAGACAAAGAAAAGAATAAATAAAGGCAACCTAAATTAGCTTAAAGAGGCAAAAAGAATGCCTGGAATCATATGTTGCTTGTGTACTTTGGTTAAAGAAAGCAGTACCAAGCATAAATTGGTTATTCTAAAGTTGTAATTTTGCTACCTTTAATTTTAAGTAAAGAATAACAAGCTATCTTTGCGTATGAATGTAGATGACGAAAAAACTAGGAAAGCCAAATCAATTGAATTTGTAATCTTCAAATTATGTCAAAATTTTGTTTGTCCAATGAACTTGTGTATGATTCGATCCATCCATTCAATTTCAAAATGTGCACTAGTTTGTCATTTTGATAGTTTGTCCGTGTCATCTTCAATAGGCATAATTACAAATGAGATATCTACCGCCATCTAGAAGCACAATCCCTCCTAGCCCAAGCCAGCTCATTTCTCAAAGAATTCCTCCAAGTTTATTTCCTCTGACTGATCTCCTTTTATGTCATTTCACCACTGAACATCTAAACGTGCTCTAGGGAATTTGAAAATTGTCAAAATTTTCCATGCATAATGGTATACATGTGATATTTAGTTAGATAAGATGGATGTAGGGAATGAGCATTAATACAAAAAACATATAAAGGTCAATGAGTGAAATTGACATTTCATTAAAAAAAAAAGAAAAAAAGAAAAAGAACAGTGCAGTGCACAAAATAAATATTTTAGAAAAGTTTGCCAATCTTTTTAACTAACTTGAACTTTGTACTTTACTCCCTCACAATTGAGATGATGTATTTTGGTCCCTATATTTAAGATTTTGTCCCCATTTAAATCTCTTATAAAACATGGGTTTGGTCCATCACACTCACATGTTTAAAATACATCATTTTACCCAAAACTAATTTTTAGTGACGTCCATGAAACTGTAATTTTGACATAATTTGAATCAAAGCACAAAAACTACCTAGTAGTTGAGGTACCTGACTATCAAAATTCTGGTATGTAATTCTTAAATGTCAAAAAAATTTGAGTTCGAATAGAAAATTTTTAGAGAATATTTTAACTAGGTAGAAGTGAAATGCTAAGCTTTATGTTTAACATTTGACTTGAGGTGGTCTCAGCTTACAAAAGATTTTTTTCTCGTTAACATTAAAAAAAATTTCTTCTGTTAACATACTTTGGGTGAAATTTAGGAGCATTATAAATTGTTTTAGATTTTATAGTTAATTTTTCTAAATCGATAGCATGCAAGCTAAGGTAGTTTCACCCATAATTTTGTCTTTAAATTGCACTAATAGTATGCTTGGAATACCATAGAGAAAAAGATTAGACAAAGGCAATGCAAATCAGGCAAGAGAGACAAAAGAACAAATGAAATCATATGTTGCTTGGTACCATAGGAAAGAAGGTAGCATCAAACATAAATTGGTTATTTCAAAATCGTCATTTTGCTACCTTCAAGTAAAGAATAACAAACTACCTTTGCATATGAATCTTGAAAAAATGATGGCTGAGAAAGCGAAACTAATTGTATTCGTAGTCTCCAATTATTTCAAAATTTTGTTTTATCCATTGAACTTGTTTGTGTCGATTCATCCATTAAGTTTCAAAACATGCACTATTAATTTGGTCAGCTTGTCAGTTAGCCTATATCATCTTTAACAGGAGTAAATACTAATGAGATGCACACCATCACTTAGGAGCATAATCCTTTCTTGCCCAAAGCCGGTCTATTTCCCAAAAAAATCCATATCACACCATCATTTCAAAGTTTTATTTTACCAATTGGACCTTATGTCTTTTTGTTTTTGTGTCATTTCATCCGCTGAACTTCTAAATATATTCCATGATTTCTAGAAAATGGAAAATTTGTCCTTGGATGATGGTATACGTGTGACATGTAGTTAGGTAGCATAAATGAAGAGAATGACCAATACAAAGAACATTAGTTACAAGTCAATGGAAGAAATTGACATCTTCAACAAAAAAAAAAAAATTCAATGGACAACGTAAAATTTAGGGCAAACTCTAATTTACCCCCCTGTGGTTTAGTATTTTTTTACACAATTCCCCTTATGATTTCAAAAACTATATATAACCTTCTTATGGTTTGGGTTAAAGTGTCAAAGTGACGAAAATGATCATTCGTAACGGAGTCATCTAAAATGTCAAAACTACCCTTATGTAAAGTTGAAAATTATTTATTAACCAAGGGGGATTATGTATATATTTTGAAAACCATAAGGGGTTATATGGTAAAACATTAAACCATAAGGGGATTATATAGTAAAATATAAAAACCATGCGGGGTTAGTGTGTCATGTATTTATAAGGGTAATTTTGATATTTTCAAAAGTTCTGTTAGGAATGACTATTTCCGTTATTTTAACACTTTAATTCAAACCATAAGTGGGTTATGTATAACTTTTGAAACTATGGAGGGGTTATGTAAAAAAGTACTAAATCATAGGGGGTAAAATATAATTTGTCCTAAAATTTATAAACACGTTGCGGAGCTCAAGCACATACGTGAACTTTGTACTTTATTTTCTTGCTTTTGAAATGATACGTTTTGGTCCCTACGTTTTTCTTTTTCTTTTTTTTTTTTTGTACCTTTTCACGTCTCTTACTCTTAAAATAATAATTTGGTCCATCACATGTCCAAAATACACCAAAATGCTTGATCTTAAGAATAGGGAACTAAAAAAGTACAAAAGTAATTACATGTAACTGGCATGATTTTCCCATTTCGAATGCATTATTTCTTTTAACATCACAAACTTTCAAAGACATAAAAAATAAAATCAAGTAAGAAATGAAATGCATAATATGAACCTTGTTTTCTTGATTGGTCTAATTTTTAATTCCTCAATTAAAAAGAGCCCTAGTTCCTGAGGTGGAAGATTTCACGATTTTCACTACACTACTACTCCAAATTTGCCTTATTAGATATCGCTCTCCACATTCATTTAGCTTATTTTTTTCAAGCAATAAAAAATCATCTTTCACTATTTCTTCTTGGTACCTTATAGATTCTATACAATTTGCACTATAACTCTTGCAAGTCTAATTGTTTTAAAAAATTCTCACTTTTTTTTCGTCCAATAAAATTTTTTTCAATCATATTCTCTTTTCCCAACAAGTTACATGAAGAACCTAAAGTCAAAAAGAGAATATACAAATTTAAACAAGTAAAGGAAGTTTGGCTAGAATGCTAGAATACCGTAGAGAAAAGAGTAAATAAAGGCAATGTAGAATAGCCAAAAGAGACAAGAGGAACGCATGGAATCATACCTTGCTTTTGTAATCAAGTCAATCAAAGTACCAACAAACATAAATTGATTATTTCAGGATTGTTATTTTGCTACCTTTAGGTAAAGAATAATAAGTTGCCTTTGAATATGAACTTGGACTAAGTGAAGACTAAGGAACCAATTCAATCGTATTTGTAGACACCAAGTTATTTCAGAATTTTGTTTTGCCCGCCCAATGAATATGTTTACCCGTGAATTTATCCATTAAATTTCAAATTATGCACTTTTTGGTCATTTAGTCAGTTTGCTTGTATCATCTTTGACAGAAGCAATTATACAATTGAGCTAGATTCGCACACCATCTTGGAGCATAATCCCTCCTTGCCCAATGCCAGCACATTTTTTCAAAAAATTTCCTGTCACCAAATCATTTCAAAGTTTTATTTCAGCTACTGAATTTTGTGTAATTTTCTTTTTATGTCATTTTATCCACTGAAATTCAAATACATAAATATAATCACGGTAATGTTGTACAGGGGACATTTAATTACACATGATGAATGAAAGGAATGACCGAAAAGAAAAAACATTTGAAAGTAAATGGGTGAAATTGACAAAGTAAAATTTTGGTGCGGTTTCAGGTTTTTAACCTTTTTAAGTTCCTTACTTTTAAAATGATACTTTTGGGGAA